CTTGACGGAACAAGCGCTGCTTTTCAGTTCTTGGCTGATGCAGAAGATTCCTTTGAACAGTGTGGTTGGTCAACGATCCTTAACTTAGCACGCGGCAAATCCGCATGTCACAGAAGGAGGAGCGCCCGGCGACAGCTGGGCGATCCGACTGGTTGCTCAATAATTGCTTACCTCGTAATTGTCGTTTGTCTTTTTTTCTGCATGTTTCCTTGGGGCTTTGTATTCTGTTTTATTTTCTGACGTTGCCTTACACATCGTACTGAATAAAGAATAAAGGCCTTCCAGGTACTGTAAAAAGCCGCTTTTCTCTGAGCTGGATCGAGAAAATACTACGATAACTTTGGTGGATCTCAAACAACACTTCAACTATTTATTCATTTACTTATTTCATGCAATGTTAGTCATATAAAGCGGTGAAGACTCCTACCGCCGCATGTCACCAAAGAGCCCTGCTGCTGCATGCATCCATTGACAGTGTCATGGTGGTGCACGTGCAGTTAGGGGTACTGCATCCCGCTCTTCCCTCTTGTTAGCGTTTTAGCGTCCTAGTACTTCACACTTCATCCACGCAGCAACATGCTCTCAGACGATTCTCATCGACAACTCAACTATAAGTTTCGGGAAATGAGCGGGATACAGTATCCCGAACTGCACGTAAAACTCAGCGCGTAGGAGCAGCGAGTGATACAATGCCAGTCAGTTTTTCATAGGCAGCTCGTGACATGTGGAAAGAGGAGTCTGCGTAGCCCTCAACTGCTGGCCTCACCCTCGGAGCACAAGCTAATAAACCTGGATAGCTAAACCGGCTTACGGTGTGCCCCATTGTGCGTACTCATGAAGCCTACACATCTAATTTCACGCGCAACTTGGGTGGTACTGTATCACGCCTGTTTTCACTGACTTATAATCTGGTATACCAGTCGCATCATGGTCGCGAGCGGAGCAGTGGGTTTTCTCGTATAGACCTGTCGCTAACACTCCTTATCAGTTGTTATCAGTTCCTAACACCGACCTGTACATAGTCTTATAGCCTAACTCCCAATATCGTCTCGTGAAAAAAGCGTCTCACAGTTGCTGTCACACGGCTATGAGTTAGGTGACACTTGCGTTATGACGCTTATTAATCATCCCCTATCAGCGTTATCTCTTCCGTCACCAAGGAGTCATGAGACGGCTTGGGTGTCGAATGGTAACAGTTATATAAACATTCGACGCCCCCGCCCCCTCATTTTGGACAAATAATCTACTTTTGCTGTGACCCGCGCTATGCAGTTGGTGACCCCCTTCGATAGGTCCCCTATCACGTTTTAGTACACAGCGTTCTTCTGTTGCTATGACGCGCCGTGTGAATTTCGTGACAAACACACGCAGACATACTTAGCGGATTATATAGAGTGGGACAGCTAATCAGCTTTCAGATAATAACATTTAAATGGAATGATCATGAGATCGGAGGACAGGAAAGAAGACTTCCTCGAAGGCTTTGCTAGACGTATGAGAAAAGAGTTCAAAAAAGTCGACCTCACATTATTATTATTACATTAATCTCAGTGACAAAAGAATCGTGAGAAGTTTTTTCGATAATTTTAGCGCTAACGTTCAAAGAGCTCTTACCTTCCTCCAACTCCTTCTTGTTCACTTCAAGCATCTCCTCAACATGTGCCTTGAAGTAGATTTCCTTCACATTGTCTGAAATCGTTTCTTTTCACGATTGTCCACGATAGATCACAAAACTAAATCAAGTATTGGGGCTAGTCAAGAAGGTCCTTTAGAATATCAGAAAACCTTTCAATGGACCCATCTCAACAGTGAGGTAGTGTTTGTGCAACTTGAGCACTAGATTTTCACCA